TAAATTACTTCAGTGTAATGCTATACTTTTAAATTGACAATAATATTCAATGCAATGCAATTTTCTATATCTGCTGTGCAAATGATCATTAACTTTCTTTTGACCTGAGGTGTAACACTAATATTGAATTTGCAGGGAAGGCTACTCATTATGCTACTTTGGTTTCCAGAGAGAACCAGTCCCAAAGGATCAATTTCTTGGATACCAAATAGGAATAGCATTCTATCAACTCCATCCCTTTGCTCTGTAAAATAAAAGGAAACATTTGTCTATCATTTCACAGTGTTTAGAAATTAGCAGCAGATTACAGCTACAGTAGAACATTAAGGAGTGTCTCATTATTAAAAACCCTCAATTCAAATTGCAAAGTTTAGAACGTGTCCTGTCTGACATAGTGTTATATAAGCAGAGTTAATTAATGTTCATTTTCTCTACTCTAGCTAATTGACCTCAGGAGAGACAAGTCAGAAAATTAAGCACCAGAAAACAGACATGTCTACTGCATATATTAAATAATTAAGACAGTGACCAAAACCCTTGTTGCTTAGTGTACTAAATTTTTAGTATAGTAAGTCCACTGAATCAATGTCAGTCAACTCCTCCATCATGTCCTTTTATTCAAATTGGCCTACTCTAACTGTGACTTACTTTGGCATTGTAAATCACCGGTAGATTGCGCTCATTTCAATCAACAGAGGAGTTAACCCGCTAAATCCTGACTGATTCAATGGACCCACAGCTGCCCAGAGACCTTTGGGTAGTGTGGGCGGCATATAAATTAAATAAATAAATAAATAAATAAATCCTGAGTGATTCAATGGACCCATGCTAGTGTGATTTACCACTCTAAACAATAAGATTTGATCCTTTGTATTTCAGATTATGAATTCATTCTAACAACTATTAATTCATTGATTTATATTCATGGATGCCAATTCCAATATAATTTAGAGCAAATCCGTTGCATCACTGAAACTGACATGTAGACTGACATACTACTAATTATGGGATAAGAATAATCATTGCAGTTAGAACATTGTTTAAAGTTACAGAGATGCCTCGCTAGACAGTTACCCCGCATGACAGTTTTTTCACTAGACATTGACTTTTTTCGATCGCTATAGCGATTTGCAAAACAGTGATTCCTATGGGGGAATTTCGCTGGACAATGTTTGGTCCCTGCTTCGCAAACCGATTTTCGCTAGACAACGATTTTGACAGCTCCCTCTGCACTCACAAAACAGATGTTTTCGGGACCTAAGCTTCGCAAGACAGCGATTTAAACAGCTGATTGGCGGTTTGTAAAGCGGCTTTCCTATGGCCGATCTTCGCTAGACAATGACGATTCTTCCCATTGGAACACATTAAACAGGGTTCAATGTATTCCAATGGGGAAATGCTTTTTGCTAGACAATGATTTCGCTAAACAGTGATTTCAGTGGAACAGACTATCATTGTCTAGCGAGGCACTACCACTCTATTTTGGAAGCTCAGTGCCACTAACTGTAAATGTCTCCCATATCTAAATATGCAAAAAGCTATTTTCTGTGAAAAAACAGGCTAACCTTGTATATATGCAAGATCACTATGTATCAGAAAATGATCACTATGTATCAGCCCACAAGTGTTACAAGTTGGGTAGTTTTTGAGAAACCTGATAGTTATTGCATAAAAATATTTTAAATAAATGTAACTGTAATGTTGAGTGTTGTGTTTGCATATGCTTTTGATTTATAACACTACACTGAACTCTTCTTTAAATATACACTCCATCAGACACAAACTCTAAGGATCATCTCCAGAAATAACCATCAGTTACAAGTACAGTGGTGCCTCACTAGATGATTGCCTTGCGGGATGAAAAATCCTCAAGACAATTGGTTTTTGCGATCACTATGGTGCCTCGCAAGACTTTTTTTTTCTATGACCATGCTTTGAAGACTTTTTTTTTTAGACTGATGCTTCACAAGACTTTTTTTTTAGACTGATGCATAGGGAACCTCTCAAGACTATTTTTTCATAAGATGACAATTTTCGCAGAACAAATTAATACTGAATACTGTTTATTTATTTACTGTACTTTAAGACTACAAGTTACCAAAGGTTCTCTTTGGCGAAAAGTACATTAAAATATAAACCATAAACAATAACTATATAAAGGACAAAATCAAACCTAAGATGAAGCCTGCAAAAGAAGAATGGACTCTACAGCAAAGTAGAAGACTTCTATGCTCTGTAAGGACCTAAAATAGTTCTAAATGCTTGGAAGAATAAAGGCTCTTCCCCAGGCACTGAAAATCCACAAGGCAGGCTTCCTCTCTGTGAAGGACATTATACCAAACGAGATAATATAAATAATATTTATGTGCCATCAAGTTGATTCCAACTTACGGTGACCCTTCTCAGATTTCTCTAGGTATAGAGTAGATGATACCACTCTGATGGCAGAAAGTGAGGAGGAATTAAAGAACCTCATAATGAGGGTGAAAGAGGAGAGTGCAAAAAATGATCTGAAGCTCAACATCAAAAAACTAAGATCATGGCCACTGGTCCCATCACCTCCTGGGAAATAGAAGGGGAAGATACGGAGGCAGGGACAGATTTTACTTTCTTGGGCTCCATGATCACTGCAGATGGTGACAGCAGCCACGAAATTAAAAGACG